ACTACAACAACAACTATAATGTTAACGGTAGTAGTAGTAGTTATAACGGTAATAATTATAACAATAGTAATATAATTAGCAACGGTGTAAATAATAATATTAATAATAATAATAATAACTATTTTTCATCAATTCCACCCCAACAAACATCGCCCCTCCCCCCACCACCCTATCTTCCCGGCGGCAACCAGCATCATTATCACAACAGCCCCCACCACCATCTTCATCATCCTCATCATCACCCCCATCATCATCACCACCATCCCCCTTTTCCTTACCATCATTATCATCACCATCATCATCTTCCCCATTCGATGCAGTACGACTCGTCGTCTGGTTATTTCAGAGCTAAGGCACTACCTCAGAGTAAGTTCTCTTGATGATTATGATGATGATGATGATGATGGTGATGATGTTGTTGTTGATGATGATGATGAGGATGAGGATGATGATGATGTTGTTGATGATGTTGTTGTTGTTGATGATGAGGATGAGGGTGATGATGATGTTGTTGATGAGAATGACGTTGATGATGATGTTCTCACATGAAAAAAGTTTCATAATATTATTAATACCAGCAAGAATAGCAACAATAACAATAATAACAATAGAAACAATATCATCACATTACTCATTTGATTTTTATTTAAAAACCCGACGACCAATAGAATCGATGGTGGACAATGGCAACCAATCAATGAGCATGTCCAGTGAGGAAGTGGAGGAAGAAGAGAAACAAATGGTCAAAGACATCTTATCTAGGATTGGTCAGCCAAAAGTGGGCTGGGCTGACATTTTTTTTAACCTCATTTCTTTAATCACGTGATTTTGTTTATTTTTTTTGCTGTAGGCTCACGTGGTTTTGTTCATTGATTGAACGACTTGTCATTATCAATATCTTATCGTAGCTACTTATAGTTCAGAGGTAGAGAGATAGAGAGAAAGAAAGTAAGGGGAAAGGAGAGAAAGAAAGAGATGAGTGAAGAACATACGAAATTGAATGAAAAGGAGAGAAAAAGAAAGAGAGAGAGAGAGAGAGAGAGAAATAAAAGAAAGAACATACAATCTAAAATAACAAACATACAATTCATCTTCCCAGGTCATGGATGTAGGGCCGAGGTGTGCCCTAATTCTTCTGACCCCGCCCGAATTGGGTCACACAGAGCTCATCGACGTTGACTTAACCGACGTTTTATACGAGTTACATCTGTCTGAGATGAATGAGTTAATGTTTAACTCGGTCTATAGGTCGGTTTGTATGCGTGTATGTGTGTGTGTGTGTTGGTGTGTGTGTGTGCATTTGCATTTGTGTGTGTATGTATGCGAGTGTTTTTTGGATGTGTGTGCGTGTGTGTGTGTGTTTGTAAATGCGTTTGTATATTTATGAACAATTTTTCTTGTATTTTTTGGTCGTTTTTTAACGTTAGTTTATGTTTTGTTGTAGGTGCGTGTGTCTGCTGATATGTTTGTGTTTTTGTGTTTCTTTGGATGTTTGAATGTTTTGTTTGGTTGTTTGTTTGTTTGTTTGAAATGATTTTGTATATTTTTTAGCAAGTTACGGCTGTTTTTATTTTATTTTATTGTATACACACACACACACACACACAAATTTGGTTTTAGTACGTCAATTAGTGTTCCAAATACAAAACATGTTTTTGTTTATTTGACATAATGATATATTAATTCATTCATTCATTCATTCATTCATTCATTCATTCATTCATTCATTCATTCATTCATTCATTCATTCATTCATCCATTCATTCATTCATTCATTCATTCATTCATTCATTCATTCATTCATTCATCCATCCATTCTTTCATTCATCCAGCCATCTAGTCATCCATTCATTCATCAATTCATCCATCCATCCATCTAGTCATTCATTCATTCATCCATTCATTCATCTATCCATCCATCCATCAATCATTCGCTTTGTTGCCATTTTTGTTCATCTCTGCGTTTGTATGTCTGTACGTTTCAATCTGCGAATATATGTTTGTATGTCTAAATCTGTATGTGTTTATATTAGTGTGGATGTGTGTGCGTGTTGAATTTTATTAGAATAAATATTATATTATATTATATTATATTATATTAGCGAATATGTTAGATCAAATGTACATACATATATATATTATGTTTTATAATGCACACACACACACATACACACACACACACACCCTCACGCACATACACACGCACACACACACATACATATATATATACACACATTCATGCACACATTCACGCACGCACACACACGAACGTGTAATATTTTTCCAGTGGTGATGCTACGGAAATAACTCTGAGAGATTTAAAACCAGTCACTGAATACTTCGTCAAGTAAGTTCTCTTGCTTGCTTTTTTTTATTAAAATTAATGTTTAAATGATTTTATTACGAATTTTTAAAAATGTTTTAATTTTAAATTATTAAAACTCACTGAGTTGTATTTATAATGAGGTGTTTTCTTTGAGGTTAGTTTTTACTTGTTAATACAGTCGCTTTCTTAAAATCAAATTCTGAACCTCAGATGCAATTCTACGACGATGATGACGATGATAGATGATAATGACGTTGATGATGGTGATGATGAAGAGGATGATGATGAAGAGGATGATGATGAAGACAATTATGATGAAGAGGATGATGATGAAAAAAATGATGATGAAGACGATGATGGTGAAGACGATGATGATGAAGACGATGATGATGAAGAGAATGATGATGAAGACGATGATGATGAAGACGATGATGATGAAGAGAATTATGATGAAGAAGATGGCAAACTGGCAATAGCAATAATGAAATTCGAAATCATTCTTCACCCAAAACACACACACCCATGCCAACCAGGGTGCATTCCATACTGGATAATATCGCGGGTTCTCCGTCTGAGGTAGTCAACTTTACGACCCAGGCCTGTGAGCCCGAACCACCACCCCCTCCAAAGCTGGTCTCCAAAACTATTAGCACTCTATTGCTCAAGTGGAATGTACGTCTGTGTGTTTGTTTGTTTGTATTGGTTGTTTGTGTATGTTTGTTTGTATTGGTTGTTTGTGTATGTTTGTGTGTCTGTGTTTGTATGTTTGTTTGTTTAATACATACATATGTATACACATACATACATACATACATATATAATACATACATACATACATACACACACACACATACATACATACATACATACATACATACATACATACATACATACATACATACACACACACACACATACATACATACATACATACATACATACATACAAACACATACATACATACATAAAAACACATACATACATACATACACGCACATACATACAAACATATACACACACCCGTATTTGCAGGTTGCTATTGATAACGGTTCGCCAATAACAAGTTACACCCTAGAATACGATAAGGTTATTATTATTATTATTATTACTAATCTTCTTCTTCGCGATATTATTATTAATATTATTGTTGTTATTATTATTTATTAAATTCTTATTCATAACCTGTTTTTAAATGTGTATTGTTTTTTTGTGTACGTATAAAAAAAATGTGATGAATGGATGTATGGTTGTATGCTGTCAGCAAACTTGTGTGTGTGTGTTTGTCTGTGTGTATGTGTTTGTGTGCGTTCGTGTGTTTGTGTGCGTTCGTGTGTGTGCGTGCGTGCGAGTGTGTGCGTGCGTGTGTATGCGTGTGTGTGTTATATACATACATATAGACATGCAAAACATTTTCATTTCGAAAATGGAAAAAGCTTTATTTGGAAATACATAAATATCCGTTGGAACATTTGCTGTTTTGTTTAAGAGTGTATTTCAAAATACCTGGGCGTGTGCGTGCGTGCGTGCGTGCGTGCGTGTATATTTAATGTTTTTTTATAATGTTGTTGTCTTAAAAATGAATAATCTTAAAACGTTAGCCCAGGGGTAAGTTTTTTTCTCAAAAACTTTTCTAATTTGTTTCTTTTTTCACTCTCGCTTATTTCCCTCCTTCTCTCTCTTTCTCTCTCTCTTTTCTTTTTCTCTCTCTTTTATTCCGTTTTTTTTCATTCTTCCGCTCGTTCTCTTTTTCTCGGGTATTTCTTCTACCTCTTTCCTTTTTCATTCATCCTTTCTTCCTAATTTTTTTCTTTTTTCGTTCATTTTCGTTTCCTCCTTAATTTTCTCTCATTTTCACTCGATCATTCTTATTTGCTCTCTTTCATTCTTTCTCTCCCTTTCTCTCTCTTTTTCCCTTTTTCTTCTTTCTCTCTCTCTTTCTCTTTCTCTCTCTCTCCTTCTCTTCAATCACTAATCCTATCTTTTTTGTTTTCCAACTTTTTTTCATTATTCTTTGCGCTCTATTTTCGTTTTTTAAAAATTCGTTTTTTTATTTTTTACAAATTGGTGAATTTTTGCTCGTTTTACTACAGTAACTTTGTTCATGTCATCATTCGTTTAAAAGTCAATCAAACAATCAAACTAGCAGTCACAAATCAATCAAGCAAGTTCTCAATATTTATTCAGTTAATCTAGTCATTTAAGTGGCCAGCCACCAATCATTCCACAGACCAATCACTTCATCAAAGAACCATTCCTTCATTCATTCGTTCGTTCATTCATTCATTCAATCATTGATTCAACTAACTGACCAACTTTTAACCAATAAACCGACCAATCAGGGAGCTGGTGACCTAACCTTTGAGGAAATATTCACCGGAAGTCAGCGCCAGTACAAAATCACCAAACTACTTCCGGCAACCTCCTACGCCTTCCGCTTGTACGCCAGCAACGCCCTTGGCAGGAGGTTTGTGGGTCACGTGACTGTGATGATGGCGATGATGATGACGACGACGATGATGATGTTGATGAAGAAAATTGTGATGTTGACGATCGTGATAATAATGATGAAGAAGAAGAAGAAGAAGAAGAAGATTGAGGTGATGAGGATTTTGATGATGAATGACAGCTTAAATTATGAGGTATATAACATCTTTGAAAAACCACACCACCATCACCACCACCATCGTCGTCGTCATCATTTGCAGCAACCACAGCAGAGTGGCCAGCTACAGTACGAGCGGTGTGGCGCCTCAGCAGCCGGACCCACCGATGCTGTCAGAAAGTTTTGCCGACAATCTGACGGTTTCTTGGATCAGAAGGCCCAATGACGACATGTTCACGCTCATGATGATGATATCGAATGATGACGATGGTGATGACGACGACGATGATGATGATAAAAAGAAGGTAGCTATGATGGTGATGAAAACATATACATACGATACGATACGATACGATAGGATATATTTTATTTGCTTCAAAATAAGAAAAGAAGACATACATACATACATACATGCATACATATATACTAACATGCATGCATGCATACATACATACATACATGAAATGAAACCACATTCATCCATATATATTTATGAGAACATGGCACTTTCAAGTACAAGACCAAGTATTTAACTTATGGACATACATACACATACAAACATACATACACACACACACACATACATTTATGCACACGTACATACAATACCCTCGTTGTGGTTTCTCACTCACTCGCACTCCTTCTCCCTCTCTCTCTCTCTCTCTCTTAAATTTTATAGCGGTGAATGTGCTGTATGTAACTGAAATAACGATTTACATATGGTAATTGCGTATATGTATGTGTGCGTGTGTGTGTATGTGTGCGTGTGTGTGTGTTTGTATGTGTGCGTGTGTGTGTGTTTGTATGTGTGTATGTTTTTCTGTTTAGAAAAACGTGTGTGCAAAAATGAACTGAATGAATTATGAAAAAGAGCGAATAGTTAGCGGATTTAACGAATTAATAATTGAGCCAGTAGATGAATGAATGAATGAATGAACGAATGAATGAATGAATGAAGGAAGGAAGGAAGGAAGGACAAAATTAGTGAACGAATAAACGAATAAACGAATGAATGAATGAACAAATGAATGAACGCACACTAACGAACATACAAAAACAAACTGATCAAAGAATGTTGTTGTTTTTATTGAAATTGACTTTCTTGAAAATATTTGAAAAATTTCTGGCCTACATATTTTTGCCATCATCATCAGGATCGTCTTCTTCATCATCTTTTTCTTCATCCTCATCACATAAACATCATCGTCGTCGTCGTCATCATCTTCATCACCATCACTCCCGACAACACACACACATATACACACATATACACACACAACACATACAACACATACACACATACATTGACTGTATGCACATACACACACACACACCTACATATACACTCACATGCATACCCACATACCCATCATATATTTATACATATACAAGCATACATCCGTACACGCATACATACATCCGTACACGCATACATACAAACAGACACATGCAAACAAAAATACATACAAACATACAGAAAGAGGTATTCAAGACAATATACATTGGTCCTAGTTTATCTTACAACGTTACTCGCTTAACCAGAAGTTCTGAATATAAATTTAAGGTTAATGAATGAATGAATGAATGAATGAATGAATGAATGAATGAATGAATGAATGAATGAATGAATGAATGAATGAATGAATGAATGAATGAATGAATGAATGAATGAATGAATGAATGAATGAATGAATGAATGAATGAATGAATGAATGAATGAATGAATGAATGAATGAATGAATGAATGAATGAATGAATGAATGAATGAATGAATGAATGAATGAATGAATGAATGAATGAATAGATGAATGAATGAATTGATGCATAAGAGTATGAATGTATGGATTGGTAGATGAATGAATAAATGATCAAACAAATGAATGATTTATATTCTTTATTAATATTCTTGGTTTTTTTTTAACAACATCACTAAGAAAAATAACTTATAATAATTACAACAACAACAGCACAAACAATCAGACAAACACACACAGACACATACATACACAAACCGACTCACACACAAACCGACACTCACAAACAGATACACACACTCAAACCGACACACACACACACTAACCGACACACACACAGACACACACAAACACACAAACAGTTACAAGCATCTAATGAGGATGGAACGAGTGAATGGAGCGATATAGTGAAGTTCAGAACTACAGCGGACAAACCGGGCACTTGCACCAAACCACACATTCTTGGCGATATCGATCAGTCCTCCTTCACCATTGCTTGGGGTTGGTGCGAAAGAAAATGTCACCTTTTTACATTTTTTTTATTTCCAACCTACAGATTGGAATGACGATGGTGGTGATGATGACGATGGTGGTGATGATGATGACGATGGTGATGGTGGCGATGGTGAAATGTTGATGATGATGTTGGATTTTTAATATGGCAAACCATCCGCAAAACATCTGCATGAATATCTTTTGCAAATGATTCCCAGTACGTCTCGGTCTGTCTGTCTGTCTGTCTGTCTGTCTGTCTGTTTGTCTGTCTGTCTAACTATCTATCGGTTTTTTGCCTGTTTGCTCTCTCTTATCTCTCTCACTCTCTCTTATTCATTCCGACAAAAAAACCGATATGGAATAAGTATACGCAAATATCGTTAGCATACATAATACCGGTACCGATATTCGAAACGATCCAATGCCAAATAGCAACCGATACGAAAAAAATATTCACAGTTCCGAATCTGTTGAACGCATGTTAAGACATGAATTCCGCATCTGTTGAGTTTTAATAATTTTCGAAATAATTTAACTTCAATCTTCAAATTTTGAGGTTTTTTTCATGCAATTTCCAATAAAAATAATAATACCAGTAATAACTTGCAGCATAATTATTCATACATTTCCTAGGTTATTATTATTCATGGCCCCACGTAATTATCATAATTTATGCAGATCCTCCGGCGGACAACGGCGGTCAGGAGATTACCAATTACCTTGTCATGCTAGATAACGGCAGTGGTAATTAACATTATTAATATTAATAATATAATTATTATAATTATTATTATTGTTGTTATTATTTTAACAACAACATACAAACAACATCAAACAAGGGAAGAATTTTTTTTTTCAAAATTTTACAATCAGCAATAATATTATTAACACTATGATAATAATCAAAAACAACAAGATAAACAATAACCCAAAACAACAGCAAAATATACAAAACACATACAATACATACAAAACACATACAAATACATACTAAACATACAAAACATACAAAACCAGATACAATAGTAAAAAACACAGAACTGACTCGAGAGTATGTGGCCAGTAACTTGAGCCCTGGCACTCTGTGCAAGTTAAAGGTAGCATCCATGAATGCCATTGGTCAGAGCCAGGTATGTTTATTATTATTATTTAGTAGTAGTAGTAGTAGTAGTAGTAGTAGTAGTAGTAGTAGTAGTAGTTGTTGTTGTAGTTGTAGTAGTAGTAGTAGTAGTAGTAGTAGTAGTAGTAGTAATGTCGTGAATTTTTTTTTCTATTAACATTCTTAAAGATTTGTACATTGACTCTAACTAATGGATTTCAAAGTCGTGTTGTAAATGAGTTCATAAGCATTTGCATTGTTGTTTACGTGGTTGTGTTTGTTTGTTTGTTTGTTTGTTTGGTTGGTTGTTTGTTTGATTGTTTAATTTATTGTTGGTTAATGCAACAGTTAATTACGAAATACCATTTACTATTAATATTATCATTATTATCACTATCATTATTATCATTATCATTATTATTATTTATTATTATTATTATTATTTATTATAAATTATAATAATTATGAATTGATAACTAAAAGTGGAGTGAGACATTGACGATAACGACTAAACCATCGTCGCCGAATGCCTGCGGTCAACTGGAGGTCTGCGGTAAAATGCGGGCCAATGGAATATTTTTTGTCAGCTGGAGTTAGAATTATTAAAAAGATTTTATTCGTTTATTTCAACCATTCCATCGTTCATTTTTTGTGTTTATTCATTCGTTCTTCATTCGTTCTTCTATTCATTCAATCATTTCATTCAATCAGCTATTAATTTAACACTTTCATTCATTCATTTGTCTACAAATTCAAACTCAGCCAACCAATCGATCGATCAATCAATCAATCGATCAATCAATCAATCAATCAATCAATCGATTGATCAATCGATCGATCATCCAACCAACCAACCGACAGAACCACCAACATTAACATACGGCTCACCTGTAACTTTATACGAACTGATGATGATGGAGGACAACAACAACAACATCAGTAACAATAATAATAATAATAACAACAACAATAATAATAATAATAATAATAAAAATCGTTGGGCTGATGTTTACAAAGGTTCGAAAGCGAGTTGTTCGATTGATTGTTTGGTTCCTGGGAGGTCCTATCTCTTCAGGGTGAGGGCCTTTAACGGAGCCGGGGTGAGTTTGCTGGACGTTTCTTGCTAGAATTATTATTTCATTCATTCATTCATTCATTCATTTATTTATTTATTTATTCATTCATTCATTCGTTCATTCATATATTTATTTATTTATTTATCCTAATAAATCTGTTCGTTTTTTCGTTGTTGTTTTTGTTCGTTCGTTCATTCATACGATTGTTCGTCAGGTGGCTCGTTTGTTTGTTCACACTTTCGTTCAACGTCTATTCATCTGTTCGTTCAGGCAGGAGTTTGGAGTGAACCAACGCCCTACACTAGTGGTGCCCTTCCGCCAAGCACCCCCGACGCCCCGATTGTCGCCTGTTCGAATGCACACTCGATCTCCGTCAGGTGGTCTCAACCGCTTTGTAATGGCGCCGAGATTCTCATGTACAAATTGGAATGGCAGCAACAAGATTCTGAATTCGCTCTGGTTGGTTGTGTGGTTGGTTGTGTGGTTGACTGGTTGGTTAGTTGGCTGGTTGTGTAGTTTATTGTTTTTTTGGCTGGTTGGTTGGTTGGTTAAATGGCTGATTAATTGGCTAATTGATAGATTAGTTGATTGATTGGTCTGTTGGTTTGCTGGTTGAGCAATAAATTCACTAAACAACTTCAAACAAAAAGTTACTACTTCAAAAATTTAATCTCATTCACATTTACACTTGACAATAAATAAATTACATCTTCTTACATATTCGTAATGAAATAAATAATAACAATAATATTAATTATAATAATAACAATAAAATTAATTGTAGTTATACAGTGGTGCGGATTTATCAACAGAAGTATCTGAACTTAAGGCCGCATCTTTGTACAACTTCAGAGTTCAAGTTGGTGTGGTGTGTGTGTGTGTACGCGCATGTGTGTGTGTGTGGTGTGTGTGTGTGTGTGTGTGTGTGTGTTGTTTACTTTGGTCATCATTCACTCATTCACTCGTCTATTTGTTTGTTAATTATTTATAATATCATTCATTTACCCATTTCATTCGTTTTCTCATTCCTTCACTCAGTCGTCGATCAACCAATCACAATCAGGCCATCAATTCAGCCGGGCCCAGCTCATTCAGTCCAACAACAACTTGTACCACGCCTCCTACACATCCTGGACCAATCACATTATTCCACGCTTCCTCAACGTCCAATAGCATCACTCTAATTTGGCGGGAACCTCTGGACCACGGTAGCAAGATTACCGGATATTATATCGGTATCGACGATAGACCGGTATCGCTTATCGATCAGAAAGATTTGATACTCGTTAGTGGCGGTAATACCGAATATACCATAACTGATCTGCTACCGGAAACTGTTTATAAGTGGGTATCTTGCAATGTATTGTATCGGTGGTATTCAGACTCTAAACACACACACACGTACTCACGTACACCAACGCACTCACATACACTCACACGGGCGCATTGTTTGTGTATTTTGGAGTATTAATTGAGGTAAAGGTGCTGTATAGAAATAAGAATTACGTACTTGTAACGCATGGATGATATCACGCTTGCTGATGCTGAAAATTTTATCCTTACAACTTCACAACACCAACATCTTCCGACTCTACACACACACACGCACACACACATACTCACATACACCAACACACTCACATACACTCACACACACACTCATACACACATACTCACATACACTCACACGCGCGCACACACACACGTGCACTTATACACACATACACACAGGTACTCACACACACAGGCACTTACACATACTCACACGCACGCACACACACACACACGCGCGCACAGAATAAAAATTCAAGCAAGCAACAGCATCGGCCTAGGGCCACTGAGTAGCTGCCTAAAGATATCCACCCACTCACACCCTCCCCTTCCTCCCCATCTCGAATGCGTCGTCGTGGGCTTCAACAACTTGAAAACTTAAATGGAGAGATGTTAAGACGAAAAGAGAGAGTATTAGTAACATTTGTAGCAGTAGTAGTGGCGTCTGTGGCGTTGTTGCTGGCGGTAGTAGTAGTAGTGGTAGTGGTGGTCAGGTGACTTACTGTTTAGAGATGCTGAAAGAGTTGGATAGGTAAGTTTTTTGTTTGTTTGTTTGTTTATTTGTTTTTGGTTCTTAGTGTTAACAATTTTTAACAGACTGTCGTTAAGTTCTGTAACGTTATCATCATCATCACCATCATTTTCCTCATCATCACCATCATTTTCCTCATCATCACCATCATTTTCCTCATCATCACCATCATTTTTATCATCTTCATCATTTTCGTCATCATTTTCACCATCTCCATCATCGTTTCAATCAATTTTTTCCAGTTTCCAGAAGATCTACCTTGGCCCCGCACACTGCTTCCGGGTCAACAAACTCCAAGAACTGACGGAGTACAAATTCCGGATCTGTTCCGTGAACAGGGATGGGCAGGGAGAGTATTCGGATTTGTGCGTCTTCAAGACTTCCAAATCACCTCCGCCTGTTCTTAAAGGTTTTGTCGCCAACTATTCAAATAATTTTAATCAACAAAATCCACTAATTAATTATTCTCCAACCAACTAACCAACCAACCAACTAATGAAATAATTCTTCAACTCAACCATTCCATAAACATCCCAACTAACAAATCATGACTACCCAGCCGATCAAATCATTTCCAACTAGCCAATCAAATCATTCCCAACTACCCAATCAAATCATTCCCAACTAGCCAATCAAATCATTTTCAACTAGCTAATCAAATCATTCCCAACTAGCCATTCAAATCATTTCACCCTAACCAACCGCACAATCAGCGCCGAAGGTAGCGTACATAACAAGTGAGGCATGCAGTGTTGAATGGGCAGCACTGAGACCTATGGGTCACGACAACATATACTACATCTTGCATATACAATCTGTCTTTGGTAGAGATCAAACCTTCAAAGAGGTGTGTGTGTGTCTGTGTGTGTGTATGTCTGTGTGTGTGTGTGTCTGTGTCTGTGTGTGTGCTGATGTTTTACTAGCTTCATTGTATGAATGTCTTTTTTTTATTGTACATTTTGTCACTTTGTTCGATTCATTACAGGTTTAAGAAATAATTTTCTTAACATTTGTCTATTTATTCATTCATTAGTTTGTTCGTTCTTCCGTTCGTTCGTTCATTCATTAGTTCATTCCTTCATTCCTATATTTATTCATTCATTCATTCACTCATTTCAACATTCATTTATTACTTTTTCATAAAATTTTATTTAACTAATCAGTATTATATTCATTCATCCGCTTCTATTTTCATATACTCTCTCACACACTCCTTATCTCTCTTGGTCCGATATACTCGACCGACTTATCGACACAGATATACCGAGGTCCATCAACGACCCACCGAGTATCAGGGCTGTCCCCATCGAGCGAATATCGAATCAAAGTTTGCGGCGTGCGTCAATCAAAAAACCAACTGACCAATCAGAACGAAGAAGTAATCGGGTCATTCAGCCAAACGACTTCATTCGTCACTGCCCCAGATAAGTCGGCCAGTTTGAGGTCAAATGAGGATTTGACCTCCGCCAACGTCACGAACAAGTGGTCTGGGTCAAGGTTACTAAGGTTCGACTGCACTGACCAGCAGTATGCGGTCATTTTGTTGATATGTTTCGCTCTGTTCGCCATCCTTGTGGCGTTCATCGTACAGTATATCGTCTCGCAGCAGAGCGAGGAGGATGTTTATAATGTATCATCATCATCGTCATCGTCATCGTCAACTGTTACGTCACCATCTTCATCGTCGTCGTCGTCATCATCGTGATCGTACATCGTGTAGCTATTTTTTTATCATTTTTCAAATATTAAATATGGTATTTAAACACAACTACACAAAACACGCACACGCACACATACACGCACACACACACACACATACACACTCACTAAAACACTTACACATATGTACAAAAACACACACATACACA